GGGAAAGATTAATGACATCTGAAAACCTGGGAAAAATCTATACACAATGCAGTTATCTGTACCTGAAAAGTGGAGCAAAGTGCTTAGCCTCACAAATGCAGCAACAGCCATCCAAGGGGAACGCTCTTCTTTAAACAAAGAAACGTGCTTCAGAGCAAAGGCATTTGAAGAAAAAAAACCCTGCTCATGACCCCTCTGCAATATCCTTTCTCCTCCAGCAGGCATTAGCCAACCGGCCTCTCTCAGAGAGTAACAGCACCAGGTTTATGACAGCTGCTCTGTTCTGCTTTAGCCAAATGCCAGTCCCCATCACATTCTTTTTATCCTGGCTCCTCAAGAGCATTTAATGCTCTGAAAAAGCAGTAGGTCCATAAAATGGATATTAATAGAGCACTTAGCACATCCATGTTTGCGATTAGCAGCTTAAAGGTTAAGAACCCAAGTAAAACAAAACCTGGAGTAATTCCAGCCTTGAGTCAGGAAGTATTTTAGCACCGAAGCCATGCCATGCACCAAGGGTGCTGTTCTATAATATGTACCAAGAAATGGGGGTTGGAAATGAACATTAGTTAAATAAAAAAAAAGGAAAAAGTCAGGCATCATGATATTAATGAATAATTCAATCCCCACAAGTTCAGAAAGCATAATGCTGAAGTTGCTGTATCATCTCTTCTGAGATCCTTGTAGCCCTCTTACAGGGCAATGGGTCAAGCACAGGCTAGATTTCATCTCTGATTGCTCTTGTTCAATTCAGAGTGTTATCAGCTTCCTTCTTTTGAAAAACATAATAATCTGATGCAGCAGGTTTAGTTCATTGTCATGATCATACCAAAAATATAATTTTCCCTTTAAGGATACTTACTTTGGAGAGGAAGATCCAGGAATCCCACAGATTTTAACCTTACTTACGGTGAGCAATGCTCCTAAATCAGCTGTCAATATAGTTGTCAAGTGACACAAGATAACGCTTTTTACAAGGCCATCTTGCTGGCTTCATAGGAAGAATTACTTCCCACTGGTCTCAGCTGGGTACCAGTGTTGGGGGAAGGATGAGTGGGACATTAAATCCTTCCCCAGCAGTGATGTGGCCGTGATAACACAACTATGCAGCTCCTCTTCCTTGCCTTTTGCTCTTTATCTCAGAGCTGCAAGCAACCCTCTTAAGCAAGACCTGGGCTTATTCCAGTTGGAAAGCATTTTTATTTTTGTGTTCCTTCATATGGAAAAAAAAATAGTTCTCACAACAGGCAAGTCTTTTTTCTTTAAAGATTTATGACAACATGAAATGTATTTTGTTTCTTCTCTTTTAAGCTAAACCACGACATTTGCCTTGGTGCTAAAATGTTATTTTCCCCATTAAAAAACATGACATTTAGAAAAAAGTATATGCAGGAATAAACAGCATGTGGGATGTCAGCCTTGGATTTCACTGATAAAGAACTGCTGGGATGAGGGAGTGCAATGCTGAGTCCTGCACTGCAGAGAAACCAGCTGAGAGCAGTGAGCAGTGACACACTCACCTGCCATTCAGCCCCTCTGCATCACCACTCCGGGTGGCCTCACACCGCTGCTCTGGGGTCGCATGTTTATCTTCCATGCCAGCAGAACTGATCAAGGCATTTCACCAGGGCAAACCACAACACTTCTCCCAAAGACAGCTTAGGGAAGAAAGGAAATGTCACTTAATAACTGTAGTTACGAAGAAAGGAGAGAAAACCATGTGCTGGTGGAAAACCCCCAGATTAAGGATTGGGCAGGAACGTGCTGATTCCAGCAGGTGAAGAAGGAGGGAGAAGGTGGCTGGGCTCTGGCAGGCATGTGCCAAGCTAGAAACCACTCCATGTTGTGCCAGCAGTAGTATTGCTGTATCACCTCTCAGTCTTCTCTGTCTCCCGCTAGATTTTGACAGAGCTCCTCAGATTTGGATGCATTTCCATTTACAGCCTATTAATATATCATCTCTATAAATATTGTTTATTTGTTTCTCTAATTGTTCTGTACTACTTAACACACACATACACCCCTCCATCCAGTTAGGTCTTTTCTCTAATTAGACATGGGTTTTCCTAATTTTATTTCTCAGTCATGAAATAAAAGTATTGCATTTGCTGAAGATTCAGGTTGTTCTCTGAATTTGGGTGTCATAATAATTAGTTTGAGAGGAGCTCCGAGTCATGATTTAATAATGGGAAGAAAATACTAAGTACCATGTCTAAGGGAAAGGCATAACAGTAGCCACTATCTGGAGCTGATGGCAAATGAACTCTGATTTGGAATGAGACCTGTTTTTACAAGTGTGATCACTGGAATGCAATGAAGGAAACAGGCAAATCTCTGTGCTTTGATGTCTCCAGAAGAAGAGTGTGTACCTTCTTAGATGACTTAAGTTGGTCAAAGACAATTCCCTGGCTCTGCTGGGGGGACAATCTGGTAATGGCCTCTTGAAGCAGTACTGTATCACCCCATGATCCTCTCTGGCCTTGGATTCCACACTTTTTCT